GACTCAACTCAATGACCAATTAAAAACCAAATTCAAATCTTAGGGATCAATTCAAACCCAATTTCAAATTTCAGAGACCAATTAAAAACTCGGACCAAATAATGTCATTTTTTAACGTAAGGACCAAAGAGAAACTAAATTTAAATCTAGTTTTTTAAATTCAGGGACCATAATAAAAACCAAGTCCAAATGTTAGGGATAAAAATGCATTTTACCCTTTAAACAACCTAGTTTCTTACCATGTGTGTTGCACATTTATGTCTCTAATATGATATAATTTATAATTTTATTAATAGTTAAAAGTTAATTCATCTTATTTTCATCCATCAAATTGTAAATATTTTATATTAGCATAATCTTATTTTGTTATTAAAAAATCACAATTATATTTTGGATTTTTTTAAATAATTATTTTTTAAAAACAAATGACACAACTAGTGTAGGTTTTAAAGTAATTACAAAAATAGAGTAGATAAATCGTAGGGATAGGCTGTGATTTGCCTAAAGCTGCAGGCGATGGCTGCAATTTCATCATAACTCGCAGCCATTGCCTGCAACTAATGCCGAAATCGCAGGCGATGGCCCACGTCTCTACTGATGGGCCCTTTGTTCCTTTTTTATTATTTCTTTTAGGGCAAAATACATTTTTGGTCCCTAAGGTTTGAGGTAGGTGTCTACCTGGTCCCTGAAGTTTCAAAATGAACACTTTTGGTCGCTGAGATTTGAGGTAGGTGTCTAATTGGTCCCTGAAGTTTCAAGATGAACACTTTTGGTCCTTGAGGTTTAAAGTAGGTGTCAACTTGGTCCCTAAAGTTTTAAAATAAACACTTTTGGTCCCTGAAGTTTGAGAAATAGTTCTAAATGGTCTCTGATTTTTTTTAACGGTTAATTAACTAATATTACAACGACGTGGCAAATTGCAATTAAATTGTTTATTGTAGTTGCTGATGTGACAAATTATATTAATTAAATGATATATGTTCGGTATGAATGGCGGACGACGATGACAAAGACGTGGTGGTCGCCGGAAAAGGGTAAAAGAAAGATAGAGGAAAAGATGAGGAGAGAACGGGTAAAACACTATCACCTACACATATATTATTTAATTAATATAATTTGTCACATCAGCAACTACAATAAACAATTTAATTGCAATTTATCACGTCATTTTAATATTAGTTAATTAACAGTAAAAAAAAGACCATTTAAAACTATTTCTCAAATTTCAAAGACCAAAAATGTTCAAAGTTCAGAAACCAAAAAGACACCTATCTCAAACTTCAGGGAACAAAAATGTATTTTGCCCTTTTTTTTATTTTGAATTTCTCCCCTTTGTTNTCCCCTTTGTTTTTTTTTTTTTTAAATTTGGAAGTTGCAGCCACACCCACTTCCCCCACTTCTTTTTTCTTTTATTTCTTTTATAATTTTGAATTTAGAAGTTGTAGCCTTGCGACTTCCCACGTCTTTTATTTTATTTTATTTTAAAAAACCAGAATTTAAGAAAAAGACTATCATCTTATTTTTCTCCATATTTCGAAAATAGATCATGAATTACCTACAACATGACACGACATATTCTTGCAATAATTTAAAACAAAATAATTATAAAACAAATAAAACTCTAATTATACATATCCCAAATTTTGTTTTTCTTAATTTAATAATTTTTTATCGATTTAGTTTATATTAAATTTAAATGTTATTTTATAGAACATACGAAGATGAAACACTAGGAGCTAAATGACATTTTAATCATCGAATTGGTTTTAATATAATTTTAAACTTTTAGACTTCAAATGACATTTTAATCAAAATTTAAAATAAAATAACAAAAAGATAAAAAATTTAATCACATCTTAATTAAATTTCGCAATATTAATAAAATAACAATATATAAATAAAATAAAATAAAATAAAATAAAAAAAATGTGGAAGTCGAGTAAATTGTACACGACTTCCAAAAATAAAAAAAAATAAAAAGATGAAAGTCTAGTACAATATACGCGACTTCCGCCTAGTCACCTGCCATATCTGCACGAAAATCGCAGGACATTGTACGCGATTTTTTACTTTTATTTTGACCTAACCTATTTTTGTCAATAGTTTTTGAAAACCTAACTTACATTTGAATTTATTTATTTAAATTACATTTATTTTGTAGTTATTTTTAAAGTAACATTATTTTTGTAATTTATTTTTAAAACTAGATTATTTTAAAACGTTGTCCTTATATTTTCGGGTTAAAAATACATTTATTTTTCTTAATTTTTTAGGAAGAGAAAAATTATTATATTGGAAATTATAAATTTTATATAGTCTATAAGAAATTTTAATGAACTCATAATTTTTTTAATATTTCATCTTGAGATAAATATTTCTGATACTTACCTCAAATATTATATAATTTTATTAAAAAAAATAATTAAGTTAATATATTTAAATTATTGTTACTAAAAATATGAGAAAATATTTTAACAAAAATGCTAATTTTTTTTATATAAAATTTGATTATTTGAGTTACCAAATTAAAATTAAAACATGCAAAAAAATTTTAAATAAAAAAACACAATAATACAAATTATAAAAAATATCAATAAATAAACAAACACAACACTATAGCAATTATATAATAAAAAAAAACAATAGTAACCAAAAAAAAAGTACCAATACACACACTTTTTTTTACAACCTCTTGGTTGGAGATATATGTCAATTATGGTTGATGTATGCTCGCTTTAGCATCAATACTCACATTCTTGAAGATAGATTTATCTTGTTAGACAAAAATAATCATTTAATTTTATTAAAGTAAAATTATAACTACACAAACTTAGGAATTACAATATAGTTTTAATATATAAATTTTGTGCGGACTTGAACTTAACATGTATGTCTTGACTCTTAAGTTTTTTTAAAGCAAAAAATGATCAGATGTCCTCGGAAAGTAAAGATAAAGTATGGGTAAAAATTTATAGAAGAAAATGCCTATTTATATTAGTAGATGATGGAAAGTTACAAATATTTTAGAATTATAAAACTTTTAAAATTCTATTATCAAATTATTATCAGTGAAAATAATAAAGCTGTTTATAAATTAAATATAACAACCATTTACCTACTTTAACTTTTTAAAGTCCTAAAAAAAATAAACTTTTTAAATTTCATGTAATTGTTAGAGTTGATATATACTATTTATACTTTATTAATTAATCTAGAATAAAATACCTATCTATATGAGTAGAGGATGGAAATCTACAAAACTCTTCAAATTCTATTATTAGTTATTATTAATGAAATAATTAAGTTTTTCATGAATTAAACAACTTTTTACCTCTTCTAATTTTTTAGGTTACATGTTATCCTAGAAAATAAATTTTTTAGATTCCATGCCATTGTTATATGGTTGATATTTATTATTTAAAATTTATTAATTAATTTACTATTTACCATTACTTTTCTATGACATGTTTTATAAATTTATAAATAAAAAAAGATTATAATAGTTTAAACATATTTTTCCAATATCTAATAAACATGTTAAATTTCTTATAAAATTGGAAGCTATGAGAGATTTGAGTTACCAAATTAAAAATAAAATATGCACAAAAATTTTAAATGAAATAACATAATAATGCTAATTATAATAAATATTGACAAATATAAAATAATAAAAATAATAATTTAGCAATTATAAAATAACAGAAACAGAAAAAATAGTAACAAAAAAAGTTAAAAACTAAATCAATACACACATCCTTCGAGATAGATAGGTTTTATTAGACAAACGTTGTTATGTAACTTCATAAAAAGTAAAATTATAACCCTACAAACTTACAAATCAAGATACAGCTTCGATATATAAATTTTCGTTACAACTTGAACGTATCATGTATGTCTTGAATTGCTTTCAAGATTAGAGAGATTTTGAAAGCAAGAAAATGAGGGAGGACCAAAAAAAAAGAAAAAAAAAATATAGCTTCAACATTTGTGAAAAATGAAGGTATTTGATGAAAAGGTTACAAATCTTTTACAATTCTACCACTTTTGAAATTTTATTATTTATTGTTATCATAAATTAAATAACACACTTTTCCATATTCCAACTGTTTGAATTTATTTAATTGTTATGGTTAATAATTAAGTATATATTTATTATTGAATTAATTAATTTACAATTAATTTTCTATAGCATGTTTTGTAAATTTATAAATGAAAGGAAGGGTATAACAGTAAAAAAAATTTAGATAGAGAAATGGACAAACATGGATACCCAAAGTTTAGAATAACAAGTAAGAAATAAACAAATAAAAGATAAAGATAAAACAAAAGGATATATAAAATTTCTCTCTCTTAGTTGCACAAACATAACAAATTGTTAACGGTAAAACCAAACAACAAGCACAACCATATCTTGTAGGAGATAAATTTTCCAAAAAAAAAAGTTGTTGATGACTTCAATTTACCTCTCCATACCCAAAATAGACAAGTTTATTTCGAGTGTCAATCAATTAAGCGGATCTACACGATTGAGAGGGTAGAACAAGAGGTAGTTCAGTTCGGTTAGTACATCTGTTTTAACTAGTACGTAGAGTTATATTAAAACCTTATCATCTTAATATAGTAAAGTCGGAATCCCAATAAACTACTAGCAATCTCACCATCAAATTGACTCTTAATTTAAATATTAAAGGGCAAAATTGGAAAACAAAAACAATGTGATAACCCCATGTCCTAAAAGAAAAGGAATGGTTTGTCCCATGTCATGGTTGGTGTGACAAAAGAAAACAACTATAATTTACAAAGAGAGGGCTCCATCTTTTCCCCTACACAAATAAAAACAAACACTTTGAGCCTTCCCACCTTTTTCATATAACAATATCTTGGAATTAAAGTATCATTCTTTACAGCAAAAGGGGAATTCAATACAATACAAAATGATTGAAGATAAAAACCAGAAGTCTCTCAATTTTCAAGTGAGTGAGGCTCCATTGGGGCCAGGATCGTGTGGGAGCGAGTCCACCCCATGATCTGTGAGCTGTTACTCTGTAGTGTAAATCTTGTAATTTGTAAAGGGTTTGATGATCAAATGATGTGGGTCATGATTGTCCATAATTAGGTGAAAAGGGTGAAACTTTTTGGAACAAGATCAGAGCGACGCGAAGATCACGCGCCAGCATGGTGGAGGTTTGTAGAGGATTTTGCCTCTCCTTCCCCCATGCGTGTCCGGTAGAAAAATTTGTCTGAAACTGCGCTTTGGCTTTGAAAACTCTTTCGAAATCTCCATCGCTCTCTCAAACAGACCCTGCTTCTCACGTATCGCTTTGTTTCGGGAATACCCTTTTGCGATACGATCGAAATCCCTTGTTTTCGATTCCTGGAAAATTTCTCTTGGGGGGTTTTTTCCTCCATCTTTTGATTGTTTTTCCTTGTGGGCTTTGGATTTTGGGAGGGGTATGACTTTGAAGGAGCTTCTTCGTGGATATGGCGGAAGGTGTGGATTGTTGGCTGCCTAGTTTTGTGATGATGAAGTGACTCTTCTTCTCTTGGCTCTTTGGTGTGGGACTTTGATCGTTTCTAGGGTTTGACGTTTTTCTTGGCTTTGGTTTGTGTTTCTGGCTTAGTTATTTTGATGTTTGTTTCGTGTCCTTCTTTTGACTTCTTACCTGTTTTTATGGGTTTTCTTCGTGTTTGCATGATTGTTCAGTATTTTTTTAGTCGTTTGATGCTTGGGATAGTTGATCTTGATCTTTTTGATTCGATATTGTCTTGAAATTTTCTGAAAATTTTTGTGGATCATTGACCAAAGTGCAACGCAATTTTATGTAGCTCAGTTACTGCTCTGTGAAATCTGGATTTTAGTTTTATGGTCCTATGAACTTGCTTTTTGTAAGTTTTTCCTGCTTCATCGAAATCGAAATGAATAATAGCTTTTGTGCAGAGTGTTGTGGGATATCGCCTCTTTAGCTATTTTGTGGAATATCTAGCTGAGAGAAATAGGAAATAGGAGTTAAATGAAATCTTAAGGGGAGAGAAGAGGTCTTGGGGGAGGTTTGATCTGCAGCTAGGTTCAATAACTCCCACTCGAGTCGGTGTCGAAAGAGTTTTGTAGTAATCCTTGTTTCTTATTCTTAATTGTTGGAGCCATTGTTTTGCCTTGGTTCAATGGATTGGATGTTCTGTAGCTGTAATTTGTTCATGTATTATAAGTTCATTCACCTGATGTTCATTTGTTCGAACAGGTAGAATCAGCATAAATACTAAGAAACCGAAAGTAGCATGGGTGTGAAGGACCGTCAAATTGCGACTCACTCGCCTAATGCCAAAGTAGAAGTAGGAGAGATCGACACTAGCGCACCGTTCCAGTCTGTTAAAGACGCTGTCAACTTGTTTGGTGAAGGTGCTTTCTCGGGAGAACGACTGATTGTGAGGAAGGGGAAACAAACTCATTCGGCCGAGGTGGTTTTTTTCTCCGTGAATTTTTAAGTTGTTATCCATTTACTAGCTATTAGTTTGAGGTTTTATTTTCTTTTGAAAAAGTAAAGTAAAAAAGTTGTACTGTGTTGGTGATGTTTTGATTCTTGTTGGCTTCAGAGAGTGTTTGCAAAGGATTCTCAACTCCATTTGGCAGAAAAAGAACTGAACAAATTGAAGGATCAACTAAAGAATGCTGAAAATACCAAAGCTGAAGCGCTTGTGGAGCTTGAAAATACAAAAAGAACTGTTGATGACCTGAAGAGAAAGCTGCAATTGCTGAGGGAATCGAAAGAATTGTCCATCAAGGACTCAGAAGTTGCCAAGGCTCGAGCAAAGCAGATCGAGAAGGCAAATGGAAACAATCATTCTGGAAATGATTGTGTTTGGAAACAAGACGTGGAAACTACTCGGGATCAGTACATGGTAGTGGTTGGGGAACTAGATGCTGCTAAGCAAGAATTGAGAAAAATCCGTCAAGATTCTGATGCGTCTTTGGAAGCAAAAGTAGCTGCACTGGAACAGGTGACGGAGGCTGAGGAATCAGTCAAAGCGCACAAGGTGAAGGCAAATGAGCTTTCTAAGGAAATTTTGGCTGCACAGGAATCCATTGAAAAGCTCAAGCTTGCATCCCTGCAAGCACAGAAAGAGCAAGAAAAGATATTCGTGGAGAAAGACATCCAGAGACAGTCTTATAAAGCGGCTCTTGAAGAGTCGGCAAAAAAACTGTTTTCTCTACAGAAGGAAATTGACCCTGATCTCACCAGGAATCTCGAATTGCAGTTGAGCGAGACAATGAATGAAATCGGGGAACTGCAGAAACAAATGGAAGATAAAAAGGCGTTAGATTTAGACTCGGTGAAGAGTGTCACCACAGAGCTTGATGGCGCTAAAGGGTCCCTTCAAAAGGTAGCTGAAGAGGAAAGATCCCTCCATAGCCTGGTTGAAGCTCTGAAGTTAGAACTGGAGAATGTGAGGAAAGAACATTCTGAACTGAAGGAGAGAGAAGCAGAAGCAGAATCTATTGCTGGGAATTTGCACGTCAAGCTCCGGAAGAGCAAGTCTGAACTCGAAGCATACCTTGCAGAAGAATCTAAAGCAAGAGGAGCTTGTGAAGACATGCTCTCAACTCTTAGCCAGCTGTCGTCAGAAACTGAGAATGCTAGACGAGGAGCAGAAGAGATGAAAAAGAAATCAGAAGATATGAGAAAGGAAGCAGAGGCCACAAGAATAGCATTGGCAGATGCTGAGAAGCAGCTGAGAGTTGCACTGGAGGAAGCTGAAGAAGCAAAAGCAGCTGAAGCTAGGGCCCTTGATCAGATTAAGGAACTGTCTGAGAGAACTAATGCTGCTCGAGCATCGACTTCTGAGTCGGGTTCTAACATCACCCTCTCTAGAGAAGAGTTTGAGTCATTAAGCCGGAAAGTTGAGGAGTCTAACACGTTAGCAGAAATGAAAATGGCTGCTGCAGTGGCTCAGGTTGAAGCTGTGAAGGCTAGTGAAAATGAAATTCTAAAAAAACTAGAAGCATCCCAGAAGGAAATTGAAGATATGAAGACCGCAACTGAGGAAGCTTTAAAGAGAGCCGAGATGGCAGAAGCAGCTAAGAAGGCTGTGGAAGGAGAACTCAGAAGGTGGCGTGAGCGAGAGCAGAAGAAAGCTGCAGAAGCTGTATCAAGAATTTTGGCCGAAACAGAGTTGTCTTCTGAATCATCTCCAAGCAACTATAGGATCCAAAAGCAGAGCTCGACCGCAAAAGTAGTCGAGTCAAGAAAATTGGAGAAAGAAAAAACCTTCTCAAAGAAGAAGACACTTTTACCAAACCTTAGCGGCATATTTGTTAGGAAAAAGAACCAGGTTGAGGGTGGGTCTCCCTCCTACCTGCCTGGTGAGAAGTCTGTGTGACATTTTCTTTTGCTTCACTTTCACGTTACTTCAAGTATTCTGTGTGTATATCTGTTGCCTGTAAATTTGTGTTCAGGTAACCAGAAATGACATTTATAAGCAACATCTTGATGGGTGGTTTTGTATATGGGATGGTTTGTTAGATTATGATTGAAGCATATTGTGTCGAGATTTTCGAGCTGCTATTGGAGATTTGAAGGTCGATTAGATCACTGAACTTAAAAGGCAAGCTAATAATCCTCTTGGTTTGTTATAGTAAATTTTGATTTAAATGAAAATGGTTCCTGCTTAGGAATGAAATGTTATTGGAAATTCTTGGTTAGGATCTCCATTTCATGAATCTTCTAGTCTGAGAAATCAAAATACGAGAAACGAACCATTTCATTTTAAACGGCGTTTCGAACAAGATGAGCTTCAGCACAGAAGAGAAGCCATTGCATACAAAAATTGCTTTGTCCTGGAAACCATGTGGCAGATAGTGTAAATAAACCTTCAATTACATATGAAATTTGAAGGCCAAGCTCATCCTGTGTAGTAATAGTATAGTAGGCTTGTAGTTTACTAGACATGATTAGTATTCTTCATTCATCATTCTCCATTGACTTAAAGGCCATTCATGGAATAGCTGAGTGTATTGTGATTTTCCAACTTATGGAACTCTGATTCTATTGTTTTCGCAATTTCAACGTCTCTTGGATCAGGTTCGGGGAAATCCACATGAAATGATCCATGTTTGACTGGTACAATGGGCTCCCTAACTGCACTTTGCTGTTGAGTGTACCTGTAGAGCTGTTGATGGAATGCACTGTCGAAGGAGAAGCAGTTTTCTGTATTTCCATTCTCAGAATGCCGAGATGATCCCGATCTTTCTTTTCGACAAAAATGTGGCAGTGCTGCATAATCCATTACCTGCAGATGGGTTCCAAACATCAAAAACAAGAAATTAAACGTCGAGGAAGAAATTAATGCACTGAATGTTGGTACATTGTTCTTAAATTCTCAAATTCTATTACGGAAACAAGGAACAAGAAACGAGAAACAAGCTATGGGTTAAATCCAATCATAGAGATCTACTACAATAAGTTGGAGAGCTCAAGTTAATCACCACTAGAATCACAACTTTACAGTGGTGAATCAAAAGTGGAAAAACTGACAACCAATCGAATTGGCTGGTTATAATTAGTATCAGTTGATTTTGTTCTATAAAACTTGATCAAACTTTTTTGATCAGTGTTGGTCAGACGGTTTAGTTTCTAAGGGAATCACAGTATTAGCATCTATCATGAAGTAAGAAAAACAATGATAACCCTATTTAGATTATGAGATTTTCAAGATTTCCGTGGAAAGAAGGATATAGCGAGCAGTAGTACCAGCTGTCAATGTCACCTTAATGGAGAACAACTTTCTCTGAGAAATGGTTTTACCTCCTGTCCTTTTCATAACTGATAGAGGTACCTATAAAAGATTAAATCTAGTCTAATCCACCATCTTAACTCAATTCGTGATTTAACATGGTATCAGAGTAAGAAGTCTTGTATTCGAATCCCTGTAATGTCATTTCCATTTAATTGATTACCACTTTGTTAAGCCTTGTGCAAATTTTCAAGTCCATAAACGAGGAACGAGAGTGTTAAGGTACCAGTAAAAGATTAAATTTACCCTAACCCATCTACTTAAACTTTTGAGTTGATTTTAACCATAATTAAGGCCAAGGGTGATTTTTTCTTCTCCAAAAGGAGAGGCAAACTTCACGTCCGAGTGGTAATCAAACTGGGGGAAAAGCAACAATAGTGAAAGCAAGCTTGCCTTTAGTAGTTCATCTCGCCCACAGTTCTGTAGCACTTGGACTTTTCTCCTTGTCCTCTCTTGCAAAAGAGGTTTTACGACCTGTCATCAACCGCACAACAAATCATATTCATATTCCCTTAAGATGACTTACTGCCCCCAGGAATTTTTTTCTCTCTCTCCCATATAGTAAGCATATTGAGAAGACTTCCTCCAATATGAATTAATATCGGCACAAACCTTCCAGCAAGCGGAAAATACATATGGGACATTAACGATGTAGTAGGTATTCGTCTTCTCGGGATAGTTTAGGTCATCAATGGTAGATATGACGGTCAGAAGCTGCATTAGCCAATAACAGAGAGAAACAGAATATGCATTAACAATACCAATCGTGTATGTAAGGAAGCTTCAACTGCATATGCTTCCAAAAAGAGGGAGAAGAACCGCCAGAAGGAGAAAAAATATCAAAGAGAAAACAAGCAACTATGTTGTAGATTTCCCATCAGTAGAAAAAGAGAAATTCATTCTGTCAACTGAAATTTGACTAATTTAGGCTTTTTCTAAACTTGAGAACATTTGATTCCAACAGTAGGGCTGAAGGTAAGGAAATGTTGTGACGTATAAAAGCATTAAGTACCTTTATTTGATTTAATGCTGAAAGCCGTAAACCAGTCATATCCAAAACCTTGAGACAGGTGCTTATAGGTCGTCCATGCTTCTTTGTCGCAGCAGGCTACAACGAACCGAGCATGTCATTATGACAAATAACATTGCGGACCGTTATACATTAGAAGAATGATTAAATGGTCGTAAATACTTACCAAGACAACGCGGTCCCTATATTCATTGATTTGGATGTGTGACTGCACATAAGAATGAACCTATAACAAAAGAACCCAAGTAAATACTTTTCAAAATTCAGTAAAACTAATTGATTTTTGTATCTTGTCCTCGTAGGAGATGTGATATGACATCAATTGACCTTATCCATGATATCACGACAAAGGATATGAATATATATGTACGGTGTAATGAATTTTGTCAGAGACCTAGCTAATGTGCACACAAGTACAAAAAGTTTCAAAGCGACAATGTGATGAATTTCATCTGTGCATATATGGTTGATCATGTCCCAAAACTAGTTCTAAAATACTCTAAGCTTACAAAAATGATAGAGAGAAGCAAATTCTTACAGATGCCTTGTCAAATGTGCTCTGACCAACACCAACAGCTATGACAGGAAGACCCTGGAAAAAATGTAAGAGGAAAAGAGGAGAAAATGAATGAGTAACAAGGTTGCAGTTATCTTGGGGAAGAAAAGTTGATCTAATTTTTGGCAGCAAAATATAATCTAGGTTGCTAGTTGGGTAACCGGAAAATGTGTTAAAGATCAAATACTGAAGGACAACTAGATTCTATTTATGTACCTCTTTTGAGTATCCAGACAATCCTACCAGCTGAGAATCTCGTACTGCTCTGTATAGTTCAGGGGGAGTGATCGGTTTCTGTTATAACACAAGATATAAATTAACAGCTAATAGAAGTATGTTAAGCGAAAATGAACCTCAGACTTCAACACATAATAATGATGAGACATATCGTATACCACCTCTGCTTGCTATAAGGCTTGAGTTAGATATTATAAATAGTCCAAGATTTACAGAGAGATTCTCATTAAAAAATGATTTACAGAGAGATATAACTGTACTAAAAGCTTATGGCATCAAAATAATCAAAAGATCAACTAAGATTTTAATTCTTGCATCGCAATTGTAGGAATGGGAAGGATTGACTATTATTCCCAATATTATTTTTGACATGTTAGCATCATTGAAAAGTTTGAATTTTCTGCTAGGGACTTTTTATTTCTTGATGTTTCGCATCATAGAGATTCTAATATTGTAGCCCATTTTCTTGCTCTGGGGAGATTTTGGGTAGGGACAAACATTATGTTTGGACCTCTCCTCTGCCTTCTTCATTTGTTTCTCTTTCGATTTGTACTGACCATTGCCAAGGAGACTTGGCCCTTTTAGTTCTTTAATATGGTTTTCTCGTGGGAAAAGAAGTTCGCTTATCATTGCCGTTTGAAGTTATAGTTGCATATTTTCAAGAAATGGCTGTCTCCACATTTATATGTTTCAATATCTTTTACTGATGAAAAACAAAAATGTATAACAGGAAAATAAACACACAACACCAAGGGGAATTAAGGACAAATCAGTCCCTTTAGATTCTTTTTGTGTGAATACAAAGCATACAGCTTTTTGGTGGGCCACAATCCACAAGAACGCTTTTGGAAACTACAGTCTTTTTTTGATTTCACAGGATTGGAAGAATGCAATTGTATAGTTCTCTTTGGGGAGGGTTATCTCTACCCTCCGCCTTTAGGTTGTTCTCGCCTTTTTGGGCTCTTTTAAAAAAAAATATATAACTCATTTATTTAACAATAATAGAAGGAAGGAGGAAAAAAAAATAACTCACTGCCAATATGTTGTCAATCTCATTTTGTATCCTCCAATGAAGACAATCCATTAACTGAAGATTCAGAAGCAAAACAAACCGAAAGTGAGCAAGACAGAGACATAAAATGCTAAGTGGATTTAATCAAAACTTAGAACTGCTAAGCTAACTGACTTATCTAACCATTTTATGGGCTTTGGCAACATTCCAGTCCCTCGCCTTCAGAAAGCGTTCCAAAGTTTCAGCTGGATGACCTTGATGCATATTCTGGAGATAATAAGACAGTCAATTTTTTTAGTTATTCAATTAAAAAACAATTTTTATTCAATAGTAACAACAAAATGCAAATCAATTCACATGTGAGGAAGTTTACAATCTCTCCACATACATTTTGGGATCAATAACTGAACAAGTTTCTTTTTCATTATTATTGGTAAACCTCAAGTTCAACTTCTTTCCAGAGAGTAGCTTCCATTTCTTTTACACCCAGAAATCTCTCGACCCTTCAACTTTTACCAATTCAAACTTCCAACCAGTCCTACAACAATTTCCAAAATGTAACTTGATTGTCTACCAGTCAATTCATCCTACAAAACCTGGAGAAATTAAGTTGTATTTTTATTTTTATTTTAACTTCATTACTTCAGCCGGAAATCAACAAATCTTCATTCATCAAGTCGGTTCATAACAGAGCTCCAGGCTCCACCCATAATAAAATAAACAACAATTTGATCTTCACATGGACTCATGAAACTCGATCTGAGATGGGAAGTTTCTCCGTAAGAGCAAATAACTGAGCATCCCAGATCAAATGAATCGTGATCTAATTTAAAAAAATAAAATAAAAAAACATACGATTTCGCTGAACTAGTTTAATTTATTCTAGCTTCAACTGCAAGGCAGCCCCAACTTGTACCAAGAACGAATGTCATTCGTGTTAGTAAAATATTATGAAATCTCAGTCCCGCAACCAAAAGACAAATCCGAAAATGATCATAGACGCAGATCTAAGGCCCACAGAGATTTACGATTTAACAATTCGAGCTCCAATCGAGCAATAAACCTTATACTGTAATTTGCTTTTCCGGTTCATCAAGTTTCGAGATCGAAAAGCTCCAATGTCACAATATATTCAGCATTCTTTGGATCATCCAACCGTAAAACAGATCAAGCAGATAAAGATCAAATCAAAGAACTAACCTCAAACGAGTTCTTCAGTGACCCATCGACTGTTTGGCATCAGAATGGAAATTAAAGAAAGAAAATGTGAGGAAAATTAGATGAGAAAACAAGATCAAAGTGGAACCTAGAGAGTTTGGAGAGATCACCTTCCTCCATTAGCAGTTTAAACTGCTTGATAGCCTCGTGATTGGCAATACCCATTTGCTCCTCCCGCTTCCAATCTTCCAGAATGGGCAGAAAATGGGAAGAAATCTCAAGAATATAAAACAAAACCAAGTTGAGAAATCAAAAACTGGGTGAGTTTCAAATTCAAATATGATCCCGTGTCTCCCTTGGAGCAAAATTTAGTGATATTTAAGAGTTCAGTGGAATCCAAAATCAAAAATGTAGAGGGAGGGAGAATCGGAGATGGAGGATCGGAGCGGGAGCAACATTTTTCTTATGATTTATGAAGAAGAGTGAGAGTGAGAGGGAAATCACTTGAAAATCTACACTCTGGTTTCTGTTTTAAGATTAAAATTGAAATTTGAAGCGAAGCCTTCGAAAATTCTAAATTAAAGAGCAAAATCCGCTGTGAATGAATGCTGATTGTTGGAAATGAAAACGGAAAGGTGTTGAAAATAATAATTAAAAAACAAAAGGTAAATTTTTTAGGTTAGAATTTAGATTTGATGGGTTTATATATATATATATAAATACAACCGATGGAGTGGGAATTCGAACTCTAGTTAAAAGAAATCTAATTTATCCAAGCTAAACTCAGGTTGACATTTTAAAGATAAATTACTTATTTCATCAACGTCCTAAACTTTTTATTCTCATTTTTAATGAAAATCCAAAAAAAAAAATCTATTACATTCATTTAGAAAAAAACATAAAGAATTTGAAAAATATTTGATAAAGAACACCTTTGGTGGCAATAATTTCATTTCATTCATGTTGAGATTGGTGGAGCCAAATTGACGAGTCGGGAAAAAGTAAGAATGAAGAAAGGAGGAAGTGAGGCGCTGCAAACTCGGAAGACCGAGGAGACAACACCACGAATATGGTGCGTGTGGTACTTTTCCATCCATAGTGCCATGATGTTATGGACAACACCATGATGATGTGCCGATGATAAAAATTCGCAGTTTTACGTGTTTTAGGTTTTCAAGTGACAGAAAACACATTGGGCAACCGATTTTGAGAGATAATTTGTGGTAATTCAAAGGCAATGGCTTGAGGTATTGACAGGAGAGTAATACAGATCAAGATCGACACTCCTGTACCTAAACCTAAGTATAGTGTGTTACAATACTTAGAAGCTAGATGACTTTTGTTAGAATGTGAATATTAGAGGGAGATATCTGTGAGTGTTTGTACCAATCTCATATTAGTGGAACCTGCATCTAAGCGAAAGACTCAACATAGCTATTGTTGGGATGAACCAAATTTAAAATTCTTTGTGTCGTTATTGTTTTTCCTTTCAATCTCTTATTATGTGTGATTGGCTTTGGTTTGCTCGATATAACTGTGGAAGAGGAAATTAAGATTCTTGAATATTATAATTGTGGATATAATTGTTAAATTTTAGTTTTTGGTTTTTGGTTTTCTGTTTTTAAAAAACAAAACCATATTTGATAACCATTTTTTGTTTTTTTTTTGTTTTTAAAAAACAAAAAATCAAAACATGTTTGGTAACAACTTTTAGTTGTTTCTTTTAAAAAAGTTAGAAAATTGAAAATATATATTAGAGAGAGAAAATTTTATGTTGATGACAATGGTGTTGGTGCGAGTAGATGCTCTTCCTCATTCTCGTGCTCGTGAAAATTTTTAGTCCCCGTCTCCACCTCGTTCTTGGGTCCGAGAGATGTTCTCGAGAAAAATTATCAATTTTATAATTATTTTTAGAATTTAAGTATAAAAAAGTGTAATAAATATATATTAATTATTAAAAAATGGAATCAGGGATGAGGACGGGGTCGGAACATGCATTATTATTTTTAGAATTTAAGTATAAAAAAGTGTAATAAATATATATTAATTATTCAAAAAATGGAATCAGGGATGGGACAGGGTCGCGACATGTATTTCCTATTTTTGGAACCCAACCCTTCGAAAATTTTTGTATTCCTCCTAATGTAGAGACAAAATACAAGTTTAGAGAGATGCAAATAAATTTTTGAAAGATAAATTTCAGAGAGATAAATAACAATATTTAGGAAAAAAATAGTGAAAAAAATTTAAAGACAAAAAGAGAAAATTTTTAGAGGAAAAAAAATAAAGTCGAGAGGAAAAGATATGTTTATGAAAAAAAATTATAAAGAAAGAGAAATATTACAGTGGAAACAAATTTAGAGATAAAAACAAGATTCAAAATATAATTTTTAGAGAAAATAAATAAATACAAAGATAAATAAAAGTTACAGCGAAATAAAATTGAATGAAAAAATAAAATATAATTTTTAGAGGAAAAATAAATTACGAAGAGAAATAAAAGTCATCAAAGATAAAATTTTAGAGAGAAAAAAAGTTAGAAAAACATTAAATTTTTAGAGGGAGAAATGAAACTGGTCTGTTAGGAAAAAAAACAAAAATACAGAAAAAAAATTTAGAAAGAGACAAATAACAATAAATATTCAAAATATGAAAATTATAAAAGAGAGAAAAATAAAGTTTGTAGAGAGAAATTTAGAAATAAAAAAAGTTTTAGAGTGAAAAATAATTTTTTTTAGAGATAAATATGAGAAAGAAAAAAAATTGAATATTAGAAGAAAAAATCAGATTTTGAAACTGTTTTTGAAAACTACTTTTTTTGTTTTTGAAATTTACCTATAATTTCGAAATGGTTTTTGAAAAATAAAAAACAGATAATTGAATTGGTTATCAACTATTTTTTAAAAACTAAGAACAAAAAACAAAAAACGAAATGATTATCAAACGACCCTATTCTTGTGTTTGTTTGACAAAAATATCAGATATTCTATTATTTTCAAATGCTTGAGTATCTTAAGATGTCCAGATGACAATAAGCGTCTAAACAATTTTGGGTGCTGTTGATGCGGAAATTTGGCCTTCTGATATTCCGCCAAATTCGTACCAATATTCTCGAAAAAAAAGTTCAACAAGACCTGCAAAATAGAATAACACTAAAGATCGGTGTGACCCTGCTCCGATGCTTAAGTCAGAACTGGAGAAGTCGAGTATGGAGAGTAAGATATTTTAGCAGAGGAAAGAGTAGATATTTGTAGCGGATTTGTAGCATACCTTTAGATTCGGTTTATAGTAAATCTGGTATAAAACATACATAATGGTCCGTTTTCTTATAAATATTCTTGCAAAAATAAACATCATTATCTAAAGATTTCAAATTTCAAATATGTAATATTATAAACCAAATATATATGCATTTTCGTTATGGTCCGTTTATATATATATATATTTTAAAGGAATGATCCCATAATTGAATTGTATACAAACTATAGAAGCAAAAAAAATTTGGTTACTTATTTATTTTTTCTATTGAGTATAATAAATGGGAATGGGGTATTTGAATTTATTGACCTCTCGGAGAAATTTTCTAATTACAGAGTTAAATTTATTATTCTAGTTTTTTTGTTTTTATGTTTTCAATTCTTAAATATGGTAATAAAAAAATATTTGATCATTTTTTTACTTGAAAACTGCACAATAATTATATAAAAATTAAATATAATATATCATTTTGTATATTTACTTTTTAAAAATTATTTTTAAGTAAAATTTTAATTGTTCAATTTAAAATTTCAGAGAAAGAAAAAAAAATACATAACATATATTTTTAATTACTTCTTGTAATAATAATAATAAAAAGAACGTTTAAAACAAATAAAATTACAAATATTTTCTATTTTTCTCTCTAAACAAATTGGCACCGAAATATCTGAAACGAGAAAAAAAAAAATAAGAAAAGAGAATCAAGAATTGACAATGTTGTTGGGATTGGTGGAGTAAAAACGACGTCGGAACGAGCTAGAAATGAGTTGTTTCAAGCGGGGACGTGTTGGGATCGAAGTAGGGATGRAAAACAGAGAAGCGGGGCGCTGCAGGCCAATCTGGCCAAAAGTGTAGCCCTGTGACGCTGTCATGGTGGATGTGTGGCCGCATTTTTGCGTCTGTAGCATTATGGCGTCGGGGACAGTTCCATGGCGCTGTTTCGAGTTTATGAATACTGCAGCTTCGTTTTAGGGTTTTTTGCCAGTCGAATTTGGAGCCGATTTTAAGTCGTTTTTCAGAGGGTTTCGTGGCAGTTTCAAGGCAGAGACTTGGGCATTGGCAGAGGCATTAGGGCTAATCAAGATCAACATATTCGGGGTAATTAGATATTGATTCTTCTGAGTTTTCATTCCTGTTCCTAAGTCTTAATTGTGCTAAATACTTTAGAAGTTAGGAGGCTTTTGTTGGGACCTCTACGGATATTTTTGAAGGGTGTTATTGTATCAAATTCTTAACTAGTATAATTTGCTGTGTCGTTTACTTTTACTTTACAATTTTCTTCCTATTGCATATTGTGATTGTGTTTGGATATTTTTTGTGGGAGGAGAAATTATACTGAATCGTTAATTTCCCAACAAATGTTACAAAACTGACGACCCTCACTTATAGAGTCTAAAATTAGTTTTATTATTATTATTTAAAAAAAACATATCTTTAAACTTAATTTCTAAGCATATCTTTTATTCTTTCACCAAAATCTTGGAAAGTTTATTCAAATTACTCCTACGTTGATTTGATAATGCAATTGGGAATCCAACAAAGAATGACCTCACACATTAATGGAGGTGAATCCAATAATATTCCTACCTCCATATACATGTTGAATATGCTTTTATTTTGTTATTATTAAATTCAAGCACTTTTTTTTTTCTTAACAAAGAATCCT